TGGCTAGTTTTTCTGCGGTGACCCAAAGAGCTATTAGTGAGAGATCATTGCAGGACCAGAGTGGCCATCAGCAGAGGAGAGCTTACACTTTACAATGAGGTGAGCCAATGGTGATAAATCCCTTCTACAATGTGATTGGGATCATTGTTCTAATTTGCACCTGCTACAGACTTATGGATTTCTGAGCTGGTTGTGAATTCTGAATTTCCCTGAAGATGGCAGACCGTCGGGATCAGATATTCTGGAGCCTATCTCGTAATGCAGATTACTCCCATAAGGCGGGAGCTTGCTGGCTCCTCAGAACTCCCGGAAGATCAATGCCTATTATACTACTACTAAACAGGCCCTGCCTCCTCTTCTTGTGCGGTATGCCATCTATTTCTTTACTTTGCAATCATCCACAGACGCAAAGAACTAAGGGCCAGACTCTCATCAGTTTACACTATGTGGATTCCACAATATTAAGCTTCCACTGCAATTGTAACTATGGGAGACCTGCCGTGCCTGGGGCTGACAGCGGGGGCCCAGGCCACTCCGTGGCTGAGAAGCAGGAGGCTCGCCACCCCCGCTCTCAGTCCTGGGTAGCTGCTCTCAACCCTGGACATCTGACAGCAGGAGTCTCCACTCTCCACTCCTAGGCCGTGTCCAGACTCAGGGGTTTTTTCGGGAAAAGTAGCCTTTTCCCGAAAAAACTTCCCCTGCGTCCAGACTCAAGCCGCGTTCTTTCGAAATTATTTTGAAAGAACGCGGCTTTTCTTTCGATGGCGGTAAACCTCGTTTCACGAGGAAGAACACCTTCTTTCGAAAGTTCCTCTTTCGAAAGAAGGCGTTCTTCAATGTAAAGAGGCCGTCTTCGAAAGAGAGCATCCAGACTCACTGGGTGCTCTCTTTCGAAAAAGCGGATTTCTCTTTCGAAAGATCCGCCTGCAGTCTGGACGCGATCTTTTGAAAGAGGCTCTTTCGAAAGATGCTTTCGAAAGAGCCTCTTTCGAAAGAAGCCTGCAGTCTAGACATAGCCCTAGTGGCCAACAGCAGAAAATCACAGAAAAATGCTAATGGACTTTATTACTGTAAATAATAAGGTTGATTATTACTTTTCTGCAATTCTCCATGGCTTATCCACAACCCAGATGCAATTTTTTGACAATCATCCTGCAGTTCAAGTAGAGCCTTAACAATAGGGTATGTCTAGACTACATGGCTCCACGCTGTGCCGACAATGAGCTGATCCGGCACAGCGCGGCAGTCTAGACGCGGATCGGTCAACAAGGGAAGCCTTTGTCGACCGCTCCCTTATGCCTCGTGAAACGAGGTTTACAGGAATGGTTGACAAAGGCTTCCCTTGTCGACCAATCTGCATCTAGACTGCCGTGCTGTGCTGGATCAGCTGATTGTCGGCAAAGTGCGGAGCCATTTTTATTTTAATGAAGCATGGATTATTTAAATCCCCGCTTCATTGACTATGTCAGGTAAACTAGTTTACATGACTCCGTCGATGGAGCCATGTAGTCTAAACATACCCTGCCTGCTCCAAAGAACTTACTATCTATATAGACTAGACAGGAAAAAGGCAGAGAGGTGAAGTGATTTGTCTAAGATTACTCAGCCAGGGAGTGGGGTAGCTGGAAATGGAACATGTGGGTTTTGGCTCCAAGTCTGCGATATTATCTGCTAAACCATGCTGCCACTCAAGAATGTCCATCATGATTACAAAAAGGATTATCAACACGGCTTAAACCATGAAGATCAACACCTAGTGCCATTATGACTTGACCTATAGGACTAGTGGTATGGCACTGATTAGCCACAGGTGGTGAGTTAATTTTGTATTCTTTGTCTTTGTTTTGCATTTTAATTTCTTGGAGTGTAATATGTGCTCTGGTTTGAAAAAGATTCCAAAAACGATCATATTCTTTGGTCAAATTAATGCACTCAACTGAAATTCAATGAGGACTGAAAACATACAAAAAAACTAGAAAGCTGGAGTTAACTAAGTGACATCCAGTCGCACATCTCAACAAATAATGATGGTCTGTTTATGCTGCATTACTCTTCTCTAAGCTCCACATATTACTATAATTATTAACTACTGGTCCTAAAATCTATAGAGTTATCATTATTGTTATTATTATGAAACTCAATCCCATTTTCATGTCATAAAGATAAACCAAATCTCATTTCAATTAGTTGCAGCAGGAGGGAATGAACTTTAAACAGACATTTAATTTCTGAAAAAAAAATTAGGAAGTTCTTCATGGAAATGTTATGGCATTTTGAAACAGATTAATAGTTCAGTATGAATACATCCACCCTGCAGCTAAATGATGGCTGTACTATGATCAGGAGACGGGTTAAATGAGCAAAACCAGTGGATACCACCGGTTTGGATTTAACCAAATAGTGTTCATTTTTATGACTTTTTAGCTATATTATTTTTTCATCCATTTGCTATCAGAATTGTTATGGTGGGTTAGTTGCTTTGAAGCTGGGTTCTATTTGCTTAATTAAAAACACTCCATTTGCAAAAGTGGATTAGATGGCATGCACTGCATTCTGGCCCCTGTAGTCTGGAACCGAGCAGGTTGGGAACAGTCAAGAGGGCAATCAGTCCTTCCTATAGCTTCCCATTGTTCACGGGCACTTGCACAACCTTAAGACGGTGCAGCATGCCTCCCCAACCAGTCAGAAAACACGGCATTGACCTCTTCCAATTTCCTCTGGGATGGAGGGCAGAGAACAAGCAGTCCTTGAGCTCCCCAAGACCAGGGACAGCAATTGTCCCTAGCCCTTCCACACAATCTTCACTGGATTGCAAGGGAAGCTCCTTGGGTCCTCGCCACCGTGCAATGGGCCAAGGAAATGGCCCGTAATGATAAATGCAATGGGATCTCAATCATTTACACCATTGCTTTCCTGCAAGGTATGCTCATTTTTAACTTGAAAACCCCAACCCCTACAACTGGAGGGCAGTGGAAAGTGGGGAGTGACTAACTTGTTGTTTTTTTGGGGGGGGGGAAGGTTCAGTGGGTGAGAGTCAGTTTTTGATGAAAAATCAAAAATGGTCTGAACAGCTGTCACTGCCTCTTCCTCATATAAACATCCAACCTACATGTTGCTGACACATTGCAGATTTGTATGTGTTAAATGAGATGCCAGACAACCGTTTATACTTTCCCATTTTGGAGAAGTTACTGGAACATCTTTTTCCATTTTGTCTTTTCTAGGGTGCAGGACTAGGTCCTAGAGATTTCAAACGTTTGAAAATAAACGTTTATAAATAAACACATACAAACATACTAAAACACATTCTCTTCCCTAGCTCTATGCAAACATTACATATTCTAGCCCTGTCACCTCCATAGGTTTGGATTCAAATCCTATTTTAGGTCTAAGATTAAAATGAGTTGGTGATCTCTCCATAGACTCTGAGGGTACGTCTAAACTACATGGCTCTGTGAACGGAGCCATGTAGATTTGTTTGTTCGGCAAAGGGAAATGAAGCCACGATTTAAATAATCATGGCTTCATTTAAATTTAAAGGCCTGCCGCGCTCTGCCAATCAGCGGTTGGTCGGCAGATCGGGGCAGTCTGTATGCTCCCCTGCCGACATG